GAATGGCCTTGTCTGGTTATTGTTTATATCCTGTAAGGCCTAACTTGATGTTTTGTCAGGAACATTACAGCCTATGTGCTCAGTCACTCAGTCGTGTCCGACTCTTTGTGATTCTGTGGACTACAGCCACCAGGCTTCTCTGTCCATGGAATTTTCCAGGCAAGAATACTGGAGTGGGTTGCCATTTCCTCCTCCAGGACATCACAGCCTAGAGTGAAAATTAATCAAGGTAAACCTCACTAATGTGGAAAGATTGAGGGCAGGAGGAGAAGGGAACAACAGAGGATGACTGTTGGATGGCATCACTGACTCAATGGACATGAGTTTGAGCAAGCTCTGGGAGATGGTGCAGAACAGGGAAGCCTGGCATGCTGCATCCCATGGGGTCCCAGTATCAGACACGACAGAGCGAGTGAACACTAAGATGGAGCTGGGAGGCCAGAAGAGGGAGCTCTCACACACTTATCAACCCTGTCTCTCCAGCAGAAGCCACACTACGGCCACCAGAAGGAGGGGGAGTTTTTCCCTCCTTGCCTGGCAACAGCCCAGCCAATGATAAAGCCACTTATTTCAAACTCCTGTTTCCTTCAATGGACCTTCTGGTTCTAACGGCTCCTCCCAACTTTCCCTTCTCTGTAAGAGTTTTCTCTTGTTTTACTGGGCTTACTTGTGGCATACCACAGTTGTATGTCCTGAAGATCCCCCACAGGGTCGCCAGGAGTCAGACACGACTGAAGCGATTTAACACATGCAAGCTGTTCCCAAATAAACTCATTCTGCTGGTAAAAATAACTGGTTGTTTTATTGTTTTAGGGTAACACTAGCTATCAGCTTTCAGATTATCTTTTTACTTTCTCAGTTCCCTATTTTAACCAGGGGCACATAAAGTCAGCCTGCAGGATATTTCACTCTGAAGTTCAGATCTACTGTCAAGATTCCATTCATCAGAAGGTTGTTTAGAGAACATTAGCTGCTGTTGAACTAAAGTCAGAGCTTCATATTCCTTTTTTAGCAGATGAGCTGTTGGATCAGAGGTGGCAAGGGCTTTATGGCAGTATTTATGTGTGTGGGGAGAACATGTACAGGCCAAAATACCTGACCTCCTTATTTCTTGTTTTCTGAAACATTTTGGTATTATTAAAGATTCCGGAGAAGCCTATAGAAATATAAGTACATTTTTTTTTACAATAATATATATTCTACATTGAGAGGTCAATATTATATCCAGAACAACTCTATTTTGATCATTGCCTGCTCACGTTTATGAAATTTTGAAAGAGTTTTGAAGACTTGGGTGGCATTCACTTACCTTTCCCATTACTTCTCTACCGCAACATATAGCATCCCCTTTCCTCCACTTTGATGGAGACAGAAACAACCCCTTCCTGGGTGTGAAATGACAGGGATGTTAGACTTGTGAATGTCTTGTCTATTGTGTTGTAAGCCATATAAAAAGTTGTTAGTAGGGAATCCCCTGGTGGTCCAGTGGTGGGAACTGCGTGTTTCCACTGCTGGGAGCACAGGTTCAATCCCTGGTGGGGGAACTAAGTTCCCCCAGGCCACATGATAAGGCCAAAAAAAAAAAATTGTTATTGATTGAATTTAGGCTTCCCTGGTGGCTTAGTGGTAAAGAATCTGCCTGTCAATGCAGGAGACATGAGTTCTATCCCTGGGTCAGGAAGATTCCCTGGAGAAGGAAATAGCAACCCACGCCAGTAGTCTTGCTTGGGAAATCCCATGGACAGAAGAGCCTGGTGGGTTACAGTCCATGGGGTCACAAAGAGTTGGACACAACTTAGTGACTAAATAACAACAAATTGAATTTAGTTAATCAGAATCAACTGATGGTTGATTCGCGAGGAAAAGATACTAGAGGGGACTGAATAGCACTCATAGGAAAGTGGATACAAACCCAACAGTTAGTTTTATTACGTGTTTTACCTAAAAAACAAGAAAATCACATTAGGCATTAGGTATTATACCAAGGACTAACTGAAGTTAAAAAGTGGGAAGCTTCCAGTGGGATGCTTGGAAACATGTCTGTGGGTTGTTGGTGCTCCCTCCATCAAGAGGAGGACTCTATTGTGCTTCCAGCACAGAGGGCACAGGTTTGATCCTTGGTCGGGGAACTAAGATCTCACATGCCATGTGATACAGTCAAAAATTAAAAAAAAAAAAAAAAGAGTCTATGTCCTACTCCCATAAATAGGAGTGGCCTTTGACTGTGTTGTCTAACAGAAAAGATAGAAGCAACTTTGTGTGACCTCCAGTTGCCCCTGGGGCACTCACTCTAGGAGACTTCTGCAGTCGTCTAAGAGATCTGCATATCCTGGGGTCTCTAGGTGGAGAGATCATGTGAAGATGAAGGAGGGAGGGAGAGAGGGAAGGGGGGAAGAGAGAGAGGTGAAGAAGAGGAAGAGGAAGAAGGAGAAGAGGAGGATACAAGAAGATAAGAGGAGGGAGGAGAAGAGATGGATCTGAGGGCCCTAGCTCTTTCACCTCACAGTGGTTTGACTCTCGCCAGCCCAGGCATCAAACATGAGCAAAGAATCCTTTGAGATGACTCTAGCCACAATCTGACTGTGACCTCATAAAGGCTAACTGACCTTGGTAATTCCTCAGGTTTTTGAGCTAAAATAAAATGACTGTTATTGTTTGAAAAGTCACTGTTTTGGGATGGTTTACTATGCTTCATGAGACAACTGGAACAATGAATTGATGATGGCTTGTGTCCTTCTAATTGAGAGACTTGAACCCAGGGATCAATACCTTGGAATTTTACTGTTGTGTAACTTGATACCAGCACTTGCTTAGGTCCTTTTTATTGAAATTTTCTCTGATCGTCTTCATAACCTAAAAGCTCCTGGTCTAAAATTATATAGAAGCTGGCTAGAAGACTGGTGAAAACAGTAGCCATGCATACCTTTTGGTGATAAGATTGAACAGCTTTCCCTAATTTATTATATTTAGTACTATTATCAGAATAGAGGAGAGTAATATATTGTATAAAGGATTAATTTGTGATAACCTGAGAGCATTGAAAAAAATCTCTATACTCTTTCAGTTCATAAAATGTATTACACATGTTATCATTTGACAAGAACATTTAAATCTGGAAACTTGTAAGTGAAATCTTTTGTACCCTGTTACTGTATGTCCTTGTATACAAACATCAGTATGCTTCTTTTAACTGGAGAAATACACCATTGAACATAAGCTTATTAATGATTTACATATACAGAGTGCAAGGAATTATAGCTATCATCTCTAATAGAGTATAATCTACAAAAATGCTGAGTCACTATTCTGTACATCTGAAACTAATATAATATTGTAAATCAACTACACTTCAATTAAAAATAAAAAAATTTTAAGTAAAAAAAAACACATAAAATTTAACTTAAAACTGAACTTTTTTAGCTTGTAAGTTTTCTTTTATCCTAAGTTTGGTAAACATAAGAGCCCTCCTAACCATTTTGGGTCCATTGCAATGTGGAGAATGTGAAATAAACGTAGTCATTGCTACTAGGTTTCTTTCTTTTATTTTTTTTACTGAAATAAAATGCACATAACATAACATTAACTGTTTGAAAACATACAATTTAATTTAGTACATCTTTGGGCTTCCCTGGCGGCTCAGACAGTAAAGAATCAGCCTGCAATGCAAGAGACCTGGGTTTGATCCCTGGGTCGGGAAGATCCCTTGGAGGGGAATGGCTGTCAACCCCAGTATTCTCGCCTGCAGAATTCCATGGACAGAGGAGTCTGGCAGGCTAAGTCCATGAGGTGGCAAAGATTGGACGCAGCTGAGTGACTAGCACTAACATACATCTACAATGTGTTGCAGCCACTGCTTCAAATAAATGGGTCTATTTGATGCCTACTTGGTGGAAAGTTCTTAAGCAGTGCTTCTCAAAACATGGCTTAGGCATTCCTGTGGTTTCTTATATACTTTTTTTTTTTGCATTCATATTTAGAATATGACAGCATCTCCTCTTCTGTTTCTTTTGTGATGTATCATAATTCAGACAAATGCTATATCAAAATGTGCTGAATTAATTATGAGAATTCTGAAATTAGTTTTTAATTCTGTAAGTAATACATGAATATGTTCTTGTAAAAGATGAAAACAATTCAGACAGAGCTTAAGGGCGCCAATTCTTATCCTGTCTTTACACCACTATTAATGCAAAGTGTATTTTTCTAGACCTTTTTGCCATGCATTTACATACTTATGAATTCTTATAAAATATACATTTTTATAAAAGAAACATTATTCTGTATCTTTTCTTTTGCAACTTAAAAAAAAAACCCAATCCACCATTGAATATCTTTTAAACTACTGCATGTATTTTGTAATACGAACTATCACAAATAATTTAGCCATTTACTTAAAGTCCCAACCCCTCTCTGTTACTGAGTTGGACCATACAACGCCCGGTGTTCAAGGGATTTTTAATTACCCCTTTGGAGACATAGTTTCTCCCAGAAGAAAGGTTCTAGGCCTGGCAAACAGGCTGGTATTTTCCTAGCATTGATAGCACTTAGGGAAATCTCAGGGTCACAAGAAAGGTGTATAATAAAATGGACTATATCACGCCATATTATCTTCCAAAGTGACTGAACTAAATTTAAACACCTATGTAGAGATTTTAAATACCCCTTGGAAAAGAGAGCTTCTCCCAGGACGAGCTTGGCCAACCCTGCCTCCCGCCCCGGCCCGCCCCGCCTCTCCAGCACTAGCCTCGGTCCCGCCCCTTCCGCTAGGAGTTCCCGCCTCTCGGCCGCGCCTGGTCGGGGGGGCGGGGCATCGGTCAGCCGTGACGTCACTGCCGGCTGGACGCCATCTTGCTGGTTTGCGGCCGGTGTTGGCTGTGGCGGCAGTGGTGGTGAGGGCGTGGGGAAGGGTGGGGTGAGGGGGCGAGGCCGCGGCGGGGGCGGCGAAAGTCTCCTCCGCTCAGCCCCACCGCGTGGGACGGCGCGAACGCGGTGTCGGAGGGATGTCCGCTTTCTCTGAGGCGGCGCTGGAGAAGAAGCTGTCGGAGTTGAGCAACTCGCAGCAGAGCGTGCAGACCTTGTCCCTGTGGCTCATCCACCATCGCAAGCACTCGCGGCCCATCGTCACCGTGTGGGAGCGGGAGCTGCGGAAAGGTGAGTCGGCCGCTTCTCGCCCCCCGGACTGTTCCCTGGCGCCTCCGGGATCCCCCTCCCCGCGCTCCTTGGGGTCCCCACTCCCCCAGCGACCCCAGCCCCCGGGTGCCCCGCACCGCCCCTGCCCGGCGCCCTGGGCTCCCAGGCGTCGGTGGGCTGCGGGCGAGGAGGAGCGGCGTGCACCGCGCCTCCTGCGAAGCTATCTTTAGTAGGTGTTGTTGGATGAGGTATAAAGGATTAGTGCTACTGCTTAACGTGGAAACAGTAGCCAGGGGCTCAGGACTCCGCTGCTAACTACAGTCAGAAATTTAGGCAGTCAGGTTTTTTTTTTTTTTTCATTGTGTACAATCTAATGGAGCAGAGGGGGAAGGGCAAAATTGGGCAAAAAAGAAAGTAAGAGATTGTTATGGGGTTGGGAGGTAATTTCATTTCTATAACACAATACTCAATCTTGTAAAATCAAGAGAGGAATCAGAGTTTTTAGACTGGGGGAGTCTAAAATAAGAAGATGCATGATGTAATGGAAAGAATCCTGAATTTGTAGATTTTAGAGGACTGTAGATTTTAGGAGGACCTGGATTAGGGAGATTTCTTAATTTCTGGGTTGCAGGTGCCTCACCTGGAAATGTATTGGTTAAGTGATCTAAGATACTTTCTTGCTCTATTATTATACGTCTTTAGGGTATTGTGTTTATTTTACAAAGCATTCTATAGTGCTTCTGTAAATGAAGTTAACTTTTTTCCAGCTGAAGTTTGCTGTCACTAAAATATGTAGAAGAATCATTTCATTACTGCAGAGCATATTTATCCAGGAGAACTGATTGTATGATGGTGCGACTGAAAATTAAAATATTTGATCTGCTTAGTCTGGATTTATACCTTAATTCTTAATTCCCTGGATAAAGAGAGTAGACTCTTGTTTCAGGCATCCTGATGTACCTGCTATTATTTATTAATTAAGCATTTTAGCAAACCATTATTAATCAAGCAGATGCTTGTGTACTGATCCATATGAAAGCCATATGTTGTATTAATACCATATCCAAATTGTCTATATGGAATGGAGACAAGCTGTGATTTTCTTATTTGCTGGTTGTTAATTCCTTAGAAAAAACTGATGTAGAGTCCTGTTTTTCACTTCATGTGTTAAGTGTGTGTGTATTGGCCCTCATGGAGGAATTCATTTGTGAGTGGCCAAAAAGGTTTGAGAAACACAGATATAAATGTCTGGAAAATGGCTATGAACTTTGAGAAGGCAGGAATTATCTTTGCTTATTTACCTTATTAGATATGAAAATCAGCAACAGTTTTATATTGTTTATATTGGAGGGGAGGGAGAAAGAGCATAAGAGCATAAGGATTGTTATCCAGACTATTCTTAAGAACTACCACAGATCAGTAGAAAAGTGGCCATACTGTTAAAAGCAGTTCACGTTAAGCAGAAACCTGAAAGACCAGTAAATGATACTCATCTTACTAATCAAGAAGACATAAATCAATGGAGTATTACATTAGACCTTTTGGTTTGCAAAGTTAAAAAGTATGACAGAGAATTCCCTGATGATCCACTGGTTAGGCCCCTAAGCTTTCACTGTGGGAAGGGGGAAGGGTACTGAGTTTGATCCCTGGTCAGGGAACTTAAGATCCTGCAAATTGAGGGAGCATGGCCCCACAAAATGTATGACAGTGCCAAGGATTGGTGAGGAGGGCAGGAAACAAGAACTGTCTTACACTGCTGATTCTAGTTATGAAAAAGGAGATGAACTTGGTAACCTCTAATGAAGTTGAAGGTGTATGTCCTCTGACCTACTAGTTCTGTGACTATATCCTGGAAACTCAAGAAATCATTGTAGCCTGTTAATAAAATTAGATAAACAGTGTAAGCATCTCATTAGAGTATGGACAAATATATTTTTACATTCACACAATATTAATATAATACAGTTTTCTTGAGTTAACTAGATCTACATGAAGCAACATGACTGAATTAAAAAACAACAAACAAACAAAACGTTGAGCTGAGAAAGCAAGGTGCAGACCATTATGCCATATAGTGAAAGTTTGAAAACATGCTTGACCAGATAGGCCAAGGTAGTGGCTACCACAAGGGAGAGAGGAAATGAAAGCAGATCTGTGTAGCTTATAGTACATACATTTGAAACATTTTTTGAAGCACAGGGAAAAATGATAAGAAGATACTCTGTTAGCTGAGTTTGGAAATGTTTTCATAGGTTTAAATGTTCCATAAATAGAAAAAAATTAAAGGCATATAAATAGATGCTTTAGGAGAGAGAAGTGTTGGGTGTTGATGGTGAAGATAGAAGTGATGGTAATTGTGGAGGTGATCATGCTGCTGCATTTTTCAGTATGAAATGGGATTTTCTGCCAGATGTTTCCTTTCTGTGACATGATTGTTCCTTTGTAGGGCACACATAACCTTATGTCCTCCCTGTTCTCTGCAGTTTTGCTTATCAACTTTAGCATAATGATGATGACAGTAATTAACTGAGTACCAAGCATTGTTTTAGACATCTTGCTGTGATATCTTGAATCCTCACATTATCTCTGCAGAATAAGTATTTTTGAAAGGATTGATCAAATTTGGAATGTCAAGAAATAAACTAAGGAAAATTAGTTGAACATTTTGTATTAAGCTTGGCATTTTTTAGTTTCTTGAAGTGGTTAAATGACATTGGTAGGGAAAAGTACTGATCAAAATGTAAGAATGAGTAGGTGAAATGCCGTGTCAGATGCCCTTATGACCAATGCCCTTATGACAAATCCCCTTATGACAGTTTCCCCTATTGTCTGCTTACCTTTGTCTCCTTGAAAGAAAGATAACCCCCCAGAGAGATATATCCCAGGGCCCTTAAGAAGAATAAAGTAGCGATATCCTTGATACATACAACACAATGTAACCAAAAAGAGGTGACCATTTTGTTGTTTTGTAACAGCTCTGTTGAGATATAATTACCAAAATAAATAGAGCTCAATTAACCTACCCTACAAGCATTACTAGGAACAAAGCCAGTGGAGGTGTTAATTCCAGCTGAGCTATTTCAAATCCTAAAAAATAATGCTGTGAAAGTGCTGCATTCAATATGCCAGCAAATTTGGAAAACCCAGCCATGGTCACAAGACTGGAAAATGTCAGTTTTCATTCCAATTGCAAAGAAGGGCAATGCCAAAGAATGTTCAAACTACCATACAATTGCGCTCATTTCACATGCTAGCAAGGTAATGCTCAAACTTCTTCAAGCTAGGCTTGCAACAACAGTATGTAAACTGAGAACTTCAGATGTACAAGCTGAATTTAGAAAAGGCAGAGGAACCAGAGATCAAATTGCCAGCATCCTTTGGATCATAGAAAAAGCAAGAGAATTCCAGAAAAACATCTATTTCTGCTTCGTTGACTACACTAAAGCCTTTGACTGTGTGGATAACAACAAACTGGAAAATTCCTAAAGAGATGGAAACACCAGACCACCCTACTTGCCTCCTGAGAAACCTGTTTACGGGTCAAGAGGCAACAATTAGAACCAGACATGAAACAAGGGACTAGTTCAAAAATTGAGAAAGGAGTACGTTAAGGCTGTATATTGTCACCCTGTTCATTTAACGTATATGCAGAGAACATCATGAGAAATGCCAGGGTGGATGAAGCACAAGCTGGAATCAGTATTACGGGGAGAAATATCAGTAACTTCAGATAGGCACATGATACCACCCTTATGGCAGAAAGTGAAGAGAAACTAAAGAGCTTCTTGGTGAAACTGAAAGAGGAGAGTGAAAAAGCGGGCTTAAAACTCAACATTCAAAAAAACGAAGATCATGGTATCCAGTCCCATCACTTTGTGGCAAATAGATGGGGGAAAAGTGGAAACAGTGGCAGATTTTATTTTCTTGAGCTCCAAAATCACTGTAGATGATGACTGCAGCCACGAAAGTAAAAGACGCTTGCTCCTTGTAAGAAAAGCTATAACAGACCTAGACAGTGTACTAAAAAGCAGAGACATTACTTGGCTGGTAAAGGTCAGTATAGTCAAAGCTATGGTTTTTCCAGTAGTCTATGCACAGATGTGAGAGTTGGACCATAAAGAAGGCTGAATGCCGAAAAATTGATGCTTTCAAATTGTGCTGGAGAAAATTGTTGAGAATTCCATGGACAGCAAGGAGATCAAACCAGTCAATCCTAAAGGAAATCAACCCTGAATGTTCCTCGAGAGGACTGACGCTGATCTCCCATACTTTGGCCACCTGTTTCGAAGAGCCGACTCATTAGAAAAGACCCAGATGCTGGGCAAGATGGAGGGCAAAAAGAGAAGGGGGAGAAGAGGATGAGATGGTCAGATAGCATCACCGTCTTGATGGATGTGAATCTGAGCAAACTCTGGGACGTGGTGGAGGACAAAGGAGCCTGGCATGCTGCAGTCCATGGGATCACAAAGAGTCGGACGTGACTTGGTGACTGAACAAGGGCAGCAGTTGTTTTAGAATTTTAAAAATACAGTTAGTATGCTATAACTAGAATGTAGAAAGCTTTTAATGATTAAGAATAATTTCACTTTATATATTTATAATTGATGCCTTAAAATATGTTTTCTGCCATCACTCTGCTGATGATTCAGTAATTTTTCTTTTTTAGCAGTCTAAATGTCACTGGTATTTCTTGAGCATGTCAAACTGAACATGTACAAAATAACAATTTATCATCTTTCCCCACTCTTGTCCCACTTCCCTGTTACTCTTCCTATATTTACTATTTCAGTGAAAAGAATTGCTGTCTACCAGTTGCCTAAACTCAGAACTTAAAGGTTGTCTTGACGCCTCGCTTCATACATGCCCCACCTGCAACTTTTTTTATTACTGTTTTAGCAGTACTTTTTTTGTGTCCTGTCCCACCTTGCTGCCTAACTCCTCATCTTCTTAGTTTTTAATCTTTATTTATTTGTCTCATTGAGTCTTAGTTGAGGCATACAGCATCTTCTGTTGCAGGGCCG